AACAATATTACCTAAAATTCAAAGTCAACTCACCTGAGAATTTGACGAAATTCTTCTTGATAAAGTGATTGGGTTATGCTATAATCCATAGTTGCCAAATCTACCAAGCTAGCTTCCCATTCATTTTCAAATCTCATATTTTCAATGATGATTTTGGCTGTGAACTTGGCCAAGCTCTTATGATGGGGATACTGTAATGTTTTCTTAACTATAATGGCTTGACAATCATCAAGACTGGTCATATTCGCCATCAAAGACTCGCTACTAAACCTTGCAGCTTCTTCAAGAATATCTTCTCCTTGTATGGAAAGATGGGATGCTTCATACAATGCCATCAACCCCTTTATATCTTTGCTTAGCTCCTCGTTAAACTTTCCTTCTTCACTAGTGAACCTAGTGAAAACATCTTTCAAGAGAAAAAAAAAAAAAAATTATTATGTTAAACATGGTATTGTTCATGAAGAAGTCTTTCTAATTGCATTTTAACATTATTGTTGGTAAACGATTTTTGATAAGCAATAATTTTAGATGTATGTCAACCAGTACCTGGGGAGATGTAGTAACCTTCTTGCCTAAGTAATCTGAAGCGAAGTGAGGTGTCGTAAAGATCAGCAGTTTCATCAAAAAGAAATTTAATTTTATGATATTGTCGCTCCAAAATCGCTCCGATAAGCTCTTGAAAATAGTAGTCTATGCCCAGAAGCTGCATCGCATCTATCACAGGTAGCACTAGCGAACCATCTTCTTGAAATTGGTATAGTAAACTTCGCCCTTCCTCCATTCTCCCTGCGCACTTGAGCTCAAACTCATCCTTGCAGACTGATGCTTTCATCTTATCCAAGCTCAAGCTACTATCAACTTAATAAATATAAAGACTTTATAATCTAGCTAGCTAGTGAATTCTTGAAAGTTTTTTAAAAAATAATAATAAACTTACCAAGAGTGTCAGAATAATGAATGTATGAAAGTGATGATGCATGGACCATGGATAGTGTTTGTGTAAGAATGCTATTTATAGAAAGAAAAAAAAAAGTCAGAAGCTTATCTGTTCAAAGAAATTTGACGAGTGGAAATTAAAATAATGCCAAAACCGCGTTTGTCGTTTTAGTACAGTGGCGTAACGTAGCTGACCGATTGAGCAATATTAAATTACGCAAGTTGCCTTATCATTCATGTTTCAGCGCACACGATTTACGCACAAAGCACTCGTTTTTATTTGTAACACGTGTATTGTCGGGTAATAAAATAAATTTGATACATGTTATGAAATCGAACATGTAAAATTGTGGTTATCAAATCAGTATTTTAAATTTTTAACTTTTGAACACTCATATGATACTTTACAAGGTAATATTTATTCTATAATTCTTCAAATACTTTACAAAGTAGTATGACCACTCATTTGGAATGATAACAAATATGTCAACACACTATACATAGTAATTGAGGTACGTGGCTATTAACTAATTAGCTATTATCATGGGAATATTCTTATATATAATTTGATCTATTTGTCGGAATATATAAATTATCAAAATATTTGTATTCTATAAGCATCCAAAGTAAAATAATTATTTTATTTCTATTATGAACATTGAAACGTCAATTTTTTAAAATATAATGAATTATAACAATTTATTCGAACACTCAAATAAATTGTAGAACAAACTTGAACAAAAGGTAATCAACAATTCAACATACACTTCGAAAATTAGAAAAAGTGTTGGCAACTTTTTAGATGAGTAGAGAGAGTTGCACTTTGATTCATCAAATGAAATGGGCTACAATTTCTACTCTCTCTTTCTCTTTTCCATAAAATCATTATTGCATGAAACGAGAATTTAATTTTATTCCCTATAAATCCAATTATCATTTTCCTTCTAACAAATAATATTGTTGTAGGATTCTCTGACACCACAAATTTCAGATGTTTGATAAATGACAAATCTGTTAAAATTTTAACGAATCTGTGAAATTTGACAGTTAATCATAACCAAAACACTAAAGCAATCGTTTGGTAAATAAGCAATTTAAAACAGTGATTTGCTCAAAACCACTTAAATCTCAAACAGACCGCGTTTGGGATTGACATTTTGGAAAAAGAATCTTCTTTTACTTACAAAAAAAAAAAAAAAAAAAAAAACCCCTATTTAAAAAAAAAAAAAAATTATTAATGAGGAGCCTATAATGCTCCTTTAATGAGCCTCAAGGGTTGAACTCTCACTTTTTCCATTGATGTGGGAAAAAGTGAAAAAACAAAGGGGAGCAGCACAACTACCCTTCTTCTTTTTATTATTTTATAATAATAATAATAATAATAATAATAATAATAATTATAATTATTATTATTATTATTATTATTATTATTATTATTATTATTATTATTATTATTATTATTATACCATGTAAGTCATTTTACATGTTAACCGTTAATTTAAACAGCTAATTTTATCAAATATATTTTTACAAATCGCTGATACAATCTGTTGGTCAAACCCGCTAATACAATATGATATTCGCTAACCACTAACACAATTCGCTATCCATGGATTGCCAAACAAGGCAAAAATCCCGGCGAAAACACAACATGAGATTGAATATTGAACATTACACATTTACACGCAATGTCAGTCAATGATTAATTAATTCAACAGTAGATACAGTTACATTCTTTAATTTATTGATTTAGTGTAGTTTACGAGCTATTACACATGAGCAGAATTTACTAAGTGCATACCATTAAATAATAATTGTGCTTTATCTCCTCACCAAAAAAAAAAAAAAAAAGTAGAAGCTATTTATAGTCAAACATAACAGTTAAATTAAATAAAACTATATATGATAAAAAATAGAAGATCAATATATCATGTTACGGGCCAAGCACCTTGAGCTCAGATGATATGTAGTGACTCTCTCGAATGGGAGGTCATGAGATCTAGCCTCAGTGGGGGTGGTGTTGACCATTTGTGCTTTAATAGATTGAGAAAATATGTATGAACAGATACTACAATGTAATATAGTCAGTAGCATTCATATATATATATATATATATATATATATATATATATATATATATATATATATATATATATATATATATATAGGGAAAATGGTCAAATAGGCCCTCGAACTTTAGCTTAAAAGTCAATTAGGCCCCTAAACTTTTTAAAGGTGCAATTACACCCATCAACAATTTATTTAGGTGCAATGAAGCCCAAAAACAAGTTAATGACCTGCTATCACAGGTCATTAGGGTTCAGGCCACCTTCCGGTAAATTTTCGGGCAAAAAAAGTGACCAGCAACCGACCCAGATTTGCCGGAAATTTCGCCGGTCACTTTTTTTTTTTTTTTTTGTCAAAAAATTCGTCGGAATGTGGCCTGAACCCTAATGACCTGTGATAGCAGGTAATTAATTTGTTTTTGGGCTTCATTGCACTTAAATGAATTGTTGATGGGTGTAATTGCACTTTTAAAAAGCTAAGTTTAAGGGCCTAATTGACTTTTAAGCTAAAGTTCGAGGGCCTATATATATATCAATTTGCTTATTGGATCTCCTAAATTGTTGAGTCAAATATATGATATCTTTGAAATGCCTTTTAGATTGGCATTTAATTAGTCACATGGACTCAATTGGGAAGAGAGAGAAAAAAATGCGTGATAAAAATATTTCTATTTTCTTTTTCTTTTTAATTAATAATAATACTCTCTAAAATTATTAGTGGTGTACTTAAACAATTGTTTATGTTGATATAAATATTGAAAATCTCAAGTTACTTGATCATCACTATCAATACATCTAAAATTAGACAGTTCTAAAAATTCAAAGAATCATACTACTAGCTCCTTTTCAATTTTCTAAATTTAGTGGGTCTTTTCAACTTAGTAAAATCAAGAAAAAATGCTATATGGTAAAAAATATGGGGAAATCATCATTTCCCAAATTAAAAATGAATTTTTGGCGGGTCATCAAGGAAAGAAAATAAAATTAAAAAAATATTAAAAATAAGTTCAAAGGATGGCACCAGGACTATGTGGTCCAATGGTACCCGGGTTGGACTTCCATTTGGAAGGTTGTGAGTTCGAGCCTCAGTGGAGGCGTTATTAGCTCTTTGTGTTTCAGTAGGTTGAGAAAGTATATGAACAGATACTACAGTGTAATAGAGCTAGTAGCATTCGAAAAAAAAAAAAAAAAAAAGTTCAAAGGATGGCCATTAGTTGACTGCCACCATAATCGACCTAGTTCAATTGTTCATTGCACGCACACGTCTTTTTTCCACTTTAATTTTAAAATAATATTAAAATGATAAAATTTTAAAATATCTATATACTAATAAGTAAATTTTTACTAGAGTTTAATAGTTTTGTTGCTCTAGGGATTAAAATACAACTTTTTTAAAGAGTTAGGGATATATGTTACTATGGTAAAGTTAGGAACCAAAATCAATAATAATGAATAATTGAAAGATAAAACTATATTTTTTCACCTTTTTCAAATTGTTACCAAAATTTAAAATAAAAATACATTACCTCAATTTCTTCACTCTCATCTCTCATTAAAGTCAGCCACTCCCATCAAAGTCGGCAAAAATGTCAGAAAAAAACTTCCACAAATGAGAAGCTTTTTTTTTTTTTTTTTTTTTTGAAAACAACAATAGAACTATTCATTAAAATCAGAAGATAACATATTACAAAGATAGTTTAGAGGGTTAGCCAACCACTCCGAACAATCAAACATAAAAAATTGTGTACCATCCATAGATATGTTAGGACGACATTATTATATTGACTAAGCTACCAATTCAACAAATTGTGTACCATCCATAGATATGTTACTCTACAGATCTATTATTCTAATGGCAATTCCGTAATATCAACTATGACCAAAGATATGTCGAATGGCCGATGTCCCGAAATTTCCGCTGCCACGAGGTTAGGCTCCTCGTAATTTAAGATATATTGAATTTTAATAACGTTATTATACATTTATTTTTTTAAAACATTTATTACAAACGGAAGAGAATACATACGTACAAGATGAAATAAAGGATGCAATTTGTCCCAATGCCAAAGCCATATTTATCAGCTAGGTAGCAAGTAAACAATATATAAGAATACTGATTTTTTTCATCAGCTTCACCACATCAAGTCTTCCTTGGTGTTGGAAAACATGAACTTGACATGCTCTTCAAGGAGAGGAAGGCGATGGTTGTCGTTGTAAGCGTACATCATTGGAACCAATCTCGCTACATTTAGGCAAGCTGTTTTGAAAGATGTCGGAATTGTGGTTGGCGAGAGGCAGTGCTTATTTAGTAACTTCCACTCCTGGGAAACCTTATCCAGAACATGCTGCCTTCCATCGCTTAATGACCAACCTTCTTGCTCTTTAATGTAGTACTCCATGTAAGATCCATCATTTCCTTCTTGTTCCTCATCCTGTGTACAATTAACAAAGTAAAAAACATTTCGGGCATATGGGAATCGGAATCGAAATCGGAATGGGTATCGAATACTTGGTAATGGTAATGAGTTTTGGTGAAAGTATTTAACACGTTTGGTAGTAGGGTGGAATGTGAATGACTACTAATAGTAGTGCTTGAGAATGAATAAAGGGGGAATGAAACCCTTATTTTATTCGGGTATGAATTTTGCAATTGATGGGGTATTTGAAACCGATAATAGTGTTCTAAAAATCTATCAACCAAACAATAACAATTACTTTCATACCATTCCTATGGGCAAAACCCATTAACCAAACACACCCTAAATATTACCCGCGGTACATGTCATGATTGAATGATGCAGGGTACGTTGGCCATGAACAAGGACAATGTAAATCATTGCCCAAGACCCAGTACCAATGCTTAGAAGGGCACACCCCCTCTTCCCCCCAATTATTATTCGAGGGATCATATGGTTCACACATTTGTGTGAACCATAAATAAAAATTACTTTTTTAATATATTAAAAATACATTATTTGTATATATAAAGTACATTATTTGAAAATATATGATTTTTTTTATATATTATCAAATAATGTATATTCAGTACACAAATTATGTACTTTTAGTATATATATAAAAAAAAAAAAAAAAAAAACTTTAGAAAGACATAAAATTGATCTACTTAAAAGACAAAAAGTATTCATAATATAATATCAATATAGAATATATGTTTATTAATTTATAATGTATTTTCTATTCAAACTATGGACTATGGAGTATTTATCTAATTAAATATGTTTTATATTTTGTTATGAATATTTTTGTTGCGTTTTGAAATAATTTGATTTTTGGGTCAAAAATATTTTTAATCCACCTCTGCAGTTCCTAGGTCATCTAGGAGGCGAAGAATTGCAGCAACTGAAGATATAATGCCCTCAATATCTGTGTTCCAAGTGGATTCACCATAGCCCAAGAGAAAGAAGAGGTTGGTGAGGACCATGGGTATTCCTGAGCTTATTATCCCATTTTTCAAGTACTCCTCAGCCTTTGGTGAATGCCCAGAAGCAAACCACTTTGCTTCGGTTAGAAATGCATTGCACAAACTTGCCCACTGTAGTCAAATTAAAACATGACACCGATTAACACTATAGACTTTTCGTAATGTTTATATCTATCTCTTTGCAATTAGATGAGAAGAGAAATTATTATGTTATTGGCTTACCGCTTTTTTCAAATGGTCTATAGGGTCCCATCCAAATTCTTGGTAAACTACGTTGCTGATCTCATGTGTGGTGTCATGAATTACCTTAAAACACATTTTCATGTAACTTGGTAATTTATCATCGGCAACTTCCCATCTATTATCCACAAAAAGATTTTGATTAGGACATCTTGTTGATTGCTTCATTAAGAGAGTATAAGATATTAAGCTTGTTATGCATCTGAGAAAAAAATAGTTATATTACGTACCTATTGATTGTTTCCGTGAAAAGAATAAGTTCATCAAGAGTACCATAAACATCGAAAATGTCATCCACGATGTAGACAAGAGAGATTGGCTTGGTTATCTCTATCCTTTGCCTTGACAAAGTTGGATTTGTAGCCATTGCCACTGACCAAATGTACCATTTCAGCGGTTGATTCCTAGCGAGCTTCAACTCCTCTGATAAACCAAGCTCTTTCCACCATCTTAATGATAGAAGTATACACGCTAAGTTAAAATGTATATATATCGATGAATACAAAAAATGGAAAACAGTGTTAAAAAAATACATTTTGGGGTGTTTGGTAAATAACTGTTAGCGGATTGCATTAATGGATTTGACTAGCTGATAGTAACAGCTGGTTGTAGAAAATGTTTGGTAAATTAGTTGTTAGCTGATTACATGCAAAATGACCTTTAAGAGTATTTTATTTATTTTCTCAAAAAGCTACTTAAAGCAGCTTTTTGAATTTCAGCGTTTTGGAACAATAAGCGGTTACAAAAAGCCAATTAAACAAACACGTATATTGACGGTTTAACCAAGTCAAACAGCTAAAAGTGGTCAACAAGTCAAAATTGGCTGATAAGTTAACTATGTTACCAAAAACGGCCAATTTATGTTTTTTCTCAGGAAAAAAGAAAAACATTAGAAAAGTATTCTACTTACTTGAAAACTTGTAGGATTTCTTCACGGTATATACATTGCATCGCGTTGAAATCCATTCTTGCTAAATCTGCTAAGAGCTTCTCCCAATCATTTTCTAAGTTACGAGTTTTAAGATAATTATTTATCGTGAACCGAGCCAAGCTTTTGTGATAGGGATAGTGCAGTGTATTTTGAACTATCAAGGCATCACTATCATCCAAATTTGACAGTCTTGCCGACAGAAGATTGGTAGTAAATATGGACGCCTCATCTAAGATATCTTCATCTTCTATGCATAGATGTGAGGCTTCATGCAAAGCCATGAGCCCCCTTATATCTTCCGACAATGCATTCTTAAACTTCATATTCCCACCTTTGAAGCTGTTGAATACATCTGTTACATTGCACAACATGAGTTAACATAATTTTTTACAGCTAATTTTAGTACTGTAAAAAATTAAATTTATTAGAGTTGAAATAATTGAAGCATGTGCTCCATCTCAACTAAAAGCCTAAACTGATAGTTGGATTGCACATTAATGGTTCAACAAAAATGAAGCAGAGTATGTACCTGCGGGGACGTGGAAGCCTTGTTGCCTTAACAATCGAAAACGAAGTGAAGCTGCGTAAAGATTATCATTATAAAGAAGGGTTTGAGAATCTTTGTATTGTTGGGTCAGACTTTGAGTGATTTGATCTTCAAAGTAGTGATCGATACCAAAGCGCTGCATGGAATCAATTACCACCAGTTCTTTTAAACTGTCTTCTTGAACTTGTTCAAGCAAGTGGCTCATTTCCAGTCGTTTCTGCTGGTATTTCACCTGCAAATTAAATATATATGAGCTAGCTAGTCTGCATTACCAAATCATATATAACTTAATTTAATTGCATTCTTCTTTTCAATATTAATTGTACTACATACATACATACATACCATATTAGGAGCATTGGGAGCAATGGATTCACGAGACACTGCAACTGGATTCTGCGCAGGTTTGATAATATTTGGCAGCAAGTGAAGGAGTGCCATGGAACTCTGTAAGTGTGGTTTCTTTAATTTGGTTGATAGCTGATCAGATAAAGTATGTTGCTGAGTTCTCTCAAGAATGCCCCCAATTTATTGGAATTCCAATGGGTTAGCCCCCTAACATCACCATCGTATATGTGGGCCTAGGCAAGTATAAAGAAATAAAGTTATACATTCTTGCTAGTTATAACTTTTAGCCTAGTTGAGGCTGGCAAGTTTAGAAAATTCAGTCATCTCTTTTTGTAATCCTAGTCAACAAATGATCATAATAAGATAAATCAATCTAGATTGTCCATAGTTGACCGGTTCAAATCAAGAAGATTGATGTTAGATATATTAAATATAATATATATATTATATATAATATATCTATGTATTTATATATAATAATATATAAATAGGAAGAGAGAGAGAAAGATTAGAATGAATAATGTTTATTCACTGGGATGATTTAACAAATGAAAATACACCACATATTTATACTAAGAGAAAGCTAATAAATAGGAAGCTAATGCTCCATGTACTACTCCTATAATCTAGACATGTTCTACATTAACATACATGACTCACCCATGTTTGTTTTTATTAAATTCTTTGACTTGGTTTAATTACTAATAATAATAATAATAATAATATTATATAATATTGCCTCCTTTAAACCAAGTTGGATGTATTGGTCATCCCAATATATCCTTCTTCAATTTAAGAAATGTCTCTGTCTTCAAGTTGGATATACTGACTTGTATTTCGTTCTGTAAACCCACTTTACTCCAATTGGCTTCTTCTCAGGAGGTAAATCTGTGAACTCCCAGGTTCCATTCTTTTCAATGACACGTATCTCCTCATCCATCGCCTTAAGCCAATGAGTTTCTGTAGCAGCCTCCTCAAAAGTTAAAGGATCACAATCTGCAAAGAGAGCAAATTGAATAATCTCTTCATCAGACAGGTCATTATCATGACCCAAAACATAATCTTGCAAGCGAGCTGGTAAATGGTGCTCGCGCTGAGATCGTCGAATTGACGATTCTGACTGTGAAGGAGACTGGACATTATCTGGAATCGGTTGCTCATAAACAATATTTTCAACAACAGGAATAACAACTGAACTTTCATCTTTAACTAACCAATCCCAGGCATCATATTCATCAAAAGTGACATCACGACTTATAACAACCTTCTTAGTTTCAGGATTGTATAGTTTATAAGCCTTTGAAGCGTCACTATAACCAATGAATATGCACTTCTCACCTTTATCATCCAACTTCTTTCTCAATGGATCCGGCACGTGGGCATATGCCAAACATCCAAAAACCTTGAGATATTTGATAGAGGGTTTTCTCCCACTCCAAGCTTCTTCGGGCGTCTTATCACGGACACTCTTAGTTGGACACCTATTCAACACATAGACAGCACAAGCAACAGCTTCTGCCCAAAAAGGTTTAGGCAGATTCTTGGATTTCAACATGCACCTCACCATATCCACGATAGATCTATTCTTCCTCTCAGCCACTCCGTTTTGTTGTGGAGTGTATCTAGCTGTCATCCGATGTTGAATACCCTTCTTCTTCAGAAAATCATCACAGGCAATATATTCTGTACCTCTATCAGTTCTCAAGATTTTAATTTCATAACCACTTTGCTTTTCAACAAAAGCCTTCAATTGTTTGAAAACATCACATGCTTCAGACTTTTGCTTCAGAAAGTAAACCCATGTTTTTCTACTGAAATCATCAATGAAAGTAATAAAGTACTTACAACCTCCATGTGAGGGAACCTCCAACGAACACAGGTCTGAGTGAACAATCTCCAACTGTTTTGTAGCTCTCCTTGACTTGCCCACGGGAAAGGGATCTCTATGCTTCTTCCCAATCACACAAATCTCACATATACGATCAGGGACATTCACAACAGGTAAATCAGAAACAAGTTCCTTTCTCGCAAGATAGTTTAACCCAGAGAAATGAAAATGCCCAAACCGCATATGTCATAACCAATTATAATCACAAACTTCAGAATTAAAGCAATCAAGGAGAGTATGCTTAATTTTCAAAGGAAATAGTCGATTTTGGGACATATTTACCTTTGCAATCAAAACTCTTTTAGCATCTTCAATGGTACAACATCCCTGAGCAATATGTATCTTATATCCTTTTTCTGACAGCTGACCCATACTCAACAAATTTTGGTCTAGTTCAGGAACATAGAACACATCGGATATAAAATTTTGAGTACCATCCTTCAACTGAATAGAGATTTTACCTTTTCCCAAAATTGACACCTTTGACTTATTGCCAAATGTCACTTCAGACCGGATTGATTCATCCAGTTCAGAAAACAATTCTTTCTTACCACACATATGGTTACTACACCCAGTATCCAAGAACCATATGTTTTTATCTGCAGAAAAACTATCACTGGCCAAAAGTAAGGTTTCAGAATTCTCACCAGACTTTTCAGCAATGTTTGCTTGATTTCCACGATTGTTGTCCTCATTATACCATCAATCTGCAATCTTGTGCCCATACTTGCCACAATTGTAGCAATGAAATGGAAATTTACCTTGTTTGGTATTACCTCCACCTCTTCCTTGGTTGGAGTTACCACGTCCTCCTCCTTGGTTGAAGTTACCACGACCTCTTCCACTAGAACCTCCTCTTTGTTAAATCATCCCAGTGAATAAACATTATTCATTCTAATCTTTCTCTCTCTCTCTCTCTCTCTCTCTCTCTTCCTGTTTATATATTATTATATATAAATACATAGATATATTATATATAATATATATATTATATTTAATATATCTTACATTTGGTATCAGAGCCAGTCAATCTTTCAACCCCGAGATATTTTCCGTAGTGAAATATGGCTGCAAATTTCAATATTTTATGGACGGGTCCCAAATTGGACGGGAAACTCGATTACAATTATTGGCAAATTATGATGTCCACACATTTACAAGCTTAAAATCTTTGGAGCTTTGTTGATCCCGGTCTACCCGAAGGAGTTGATGCAGGCGCTATACGGCGAGATAAATTGGCCTTGGGTCAGATTCACCAAGGTGTTCATTATTCCATTTTTGGGCAATTAGCTCGTGCTCAAACAGCAAAACAAGCTTGGGACATCTTAAAGGTGTCACACAAAGGAGTTGATCGGGCACAGAAGTCTAAGTTACAGTCGTTGAGAAGGTTGTACGATAATTGTGAGATGACCTCTATAGAAACAGTAAATGCGTATTTCACTCGTCTTATTGATATGGTGAATAAGATGAGGCTATATGGAGATACGATTGAAGATGGTGCAGTGGTTGAAAAAGTTCTTCGAACTATGCCGATGAAGTATGACCATGTGGTGGCTTCGATCACAGAGTCACACAAAACTGAGCTCTTATCAATTGCAGAGCTGAAAGGTATGGTAGAAAGTCATATTGACAGGATTGCGTCAAAATCGGAACCACTAGCAGAAGAAGCTTTGAAGAGCCAAGTCACCCTTAATGCATGTGACTGGCACTAATCAAAGAGGTGGAGGATCTGGTAGAGGTCGTGGAAGAGGAAGAGGACGTCACCACATATTTATACTAAGAGAAAGCTAATAAATAGGAAGCTAATGCTCCATGTACTACTCCTATAATCTAGGCATGTTCTACATTAACATACATGACTCACCCATGTTTGTTTTTATTAAATTCTTTGACTTGGTTTAATTACTAATAATAATAATAATATTATTATTATTATAACAACTAGTATTTGCGCCCGTGCGATGCACGGAATAGATTTGTTGTAATATATTAAGAATATTTGGATCGATATATAATTATTTAAATTAGAACATCAAATATTATATAGTTCAATTGAATATACGGGTTGGATCATTTATGTGTTTTTATATTATCATTGTATGAATTTAAGCAAATAATTGCTCAAATTAATAGCTAATGTGTAGATGTATGCATGTAGTGTTATAACTTTGGAGATTTTTTTGTATCATTGTTTAGTATTTTTTTTTTATATAAATTATACAAATGTGTTCATTTTCTAAGCAACTCAGTTATATGAATGAATTGTTATCTTAATTCATTTGTATGGAGGATATTTTTTTTGTCTATACATATAGCAATTTTGTCATTTAAAAAATATAATATCAACGATTTTATTTACACATTGTTGAAACCTCTTTGTAGACGACATTGGTAGTAGCAACACAATCTTGTCCATCATCGTCTAGAGCTAACACCTTCAATTGATCAGGATGGGTGACTCGGTGAAAATATATAATGGTATAATATTAGTCAATTAGCGATCCTTTTATATTTTAAATAAATTAGTAATATCATATTCATTTTCAGTCAATTATTCTTTTATATTTTTAGTCCATTAGAATATTACATGGAGTGATATTTTTACCTAATTTGTGTTCCATTTTTAATTGAGGATGTATAATATTATTATTGAAATATTTCTGTTCCATTTGTAATTTACCTTTACTATTGTTTAAAATATGCATTTACTATTTATGATATAGAATATTATTATTGAAATATTGGCGTTCAATTTTAGTTTCCCTTCCATTTTAATTAAAATGCAATGGTCTAACCATTTATTTTTTTCATATTAGTCAATTATGAATATTTTTTTATTTGCAGTCAATTATTAATATTCATTCCCTTTTAAATTTTCAATCCATTAGTAATATCATATTTATTTTCATCCAATTACTTCTCTTTTATTTTTAGTCAATTAATCAATTAGCGAACTAAAATATCAAATGCAATGATATTTTTATCAAATTTTCGTTTCATTTTTAATTGATGATTTAGAATATTATTATTGAAATATTTCCATTTCATTTTTAATTTTTGCTACATTTTTAATTTACCTTTACTATTGTTTAAAATACGTCTTTAGTATTGATGATGTAGAATATTATTATTGAAGTATTTTCTTTTTATTTTTAATTTACCTTTATTTGATAGTGTAGAATATTATTATTGAAATATTTCCATTCTATTGTTTAAAATTGTGTAAAATTTATGACATACTTGTGATTTGATGTATTATACTGTGTAATATTATTGTGAAAA